TATACATCTTCCAGAAAATAAGCCAGAGTTCAGAAATTATTCCTTTGTTGATGACTTGAACTTGCTCAAGTCGGCAGCAGAAAAAGAGAGGAAGGAAAAGGAGAGGGAATCGATCAGAAGCTCCCTGTATGACCAGCAACTTGCCCTTGATGACGCAGATTCCACCAAGAAGCGCAGGCTAGTGGATGACTATGACTCCACTAAAAGCGGTCTGGACTATAAATACCAAGGTACTTCATCAGAAGTCGTGTTCTTCAGCATTTGCTTTGAATGTGTATGATGTATACAGATGAGCCAAAACAGTTAAACTCGAGGGAGAACGTGGTCCCGCTCATCCGTTATATCTAGAAGAGCAGCCACATTTTAGTCTGTGGCAGGGGGGAAAAACCAATAAATTATCTCCCGGCAGCTTAAAAGCCAACAAATTTATTTTGGCAGGAGCTATCATATTTATCAAAGTGGACGACAAGAGTGTTCTGTTTGTGCATGGAGGTTTGTAATATCTATGACACAAAAAGCAGCCTTAAAAAGTGGAGGCGTGGCTTGGAACACCACAAATAAGATAGGCCCTATCCACAGGCCAACAGTAACATGCGTGATAGGCCTTATATGGAGCGTATGCAAGGATGGATGCAGGGAGGGTAGCTGTTTTGAAAAGTGAGATTAAAATGTGAAATCCATGGAATGTATGGGTCAGTCCATAAAGGCAGATAGGATGCAGTCACAATGGGGAGGGGAGGGAGTCATCAGATCCTGGGATGGATCTGAGGACCACCTAAGCCTTGCACAGAGTTATATCATTAGCATTTGTAGTTGGGGGAAAGGGTGCCTTGACCCTTTGCCCTGTGCCATTTTTCAAACCAACGTCTCCAAACATAGGAACACCCCCCCCTTCTCACCTGTCTTTTATCCACCATGGATGGGAAAGCTTTGGTCACAAGAACATCCCAAGGGAAAAGGGTGATGTACGCCTGACCCCCCCCCCCGTATTTGCATAAAAAATAACAGCCAGGTAGTGATCACTCATCTCCTAAGATAACTAGCCAGATTCACTAGTAAGCCCTAACAAAGTTGTGCCGGTGAACAACAGCCTTGAGCTCTGCCAAGCCTTATGTTCTGGGATCTCTCGGAATAGCTCCATTTCTTTCCAGGCCTTTTACTTACTTATTTAATTCATTTGTACCCTGCCTTTCTCCCCAATGTGGACCCAAAGCAGCTTACAACATTCTCCTCTCGTCCGTTTTATCCTCACAACAACCCTGTGAGGTAGGTTAGGATGAGAGAGTGTGGTTAGCCCAAGACCACCCAGCAAGCTTCTATGGCACGAGTGAAGATTCAGACCTGGGTCTCCCAGATACTATTCCAACACTCTTAACCACTACATCATACTGACTGTGCAGTCTGGGGAGCTCTAGATCAAGAGGTTTAAAGCATGACATCACCTTACCCCTTCCAGAGCTCCACCTGAACAAAACTGTACCCTACTTAATTTCAGTTGCAGGTTTGACATAATTTGTGACTTCAGTTGGCTACAGAAGAGCCGAAATAGACAAGCAAAACTTTTGGCTTATCTTAATGCCACATGAATGAGATGAATTCACATTCATTAACCCAGTATAAGTACCATCCTATTTTACCTGGTCCTGTACTCATAGTTGGTAAAACATATTAGGCTACCATCAGCCATTAGCACCAGTTGAAAGGGTGGATTGAACATTAGTTATGAACAACTGGAACAATCAAAGATGCAGAAGAAACACTTGCATGATGTATAATTGTTGTAGGTTTGCATGTTAATAATTATTTGTATAGCTTCTAACTTCATAAA